GCCTGATTTTTGGGTGTACCCCCACCTTAATGGCGACCCTTTCTCTGTCGACGTGGAAGTTGGTTTACAGCACAGCAACCAATCATTTCGCTTGTCAGAACACGTCTATCAGAAAAAGGGAAGTGACAAGTTGTGTTTTCCTGGAGGAATCAACTGGAACAGCAAAGCCATGGTGTACTTCATACTTCCTGTCAAAGACCAGGGACGGTGGGTCTATCATTTTATCAATGAACTCACTGTTGCCAGCATATTAACCGGTGATATGAACTTCCACGTCGTTGTGGCCGACTTTGAAAGTCAGGATATCGAAATGACCAAAGCTTTTAACACTTCTCTGTTCCGCAGCAAACACACCATTGTTAGTTTGAAGGGTAAATTCTATAAGACACTCGCGCTAAACGAGGCTGTCGCTCGTGTTCCAAGCGAGCATGATATACTGTTTCTGTATGATCTTCACATCGATGTGCCCGTAGACATTGTGAACAGCGTCAGAAAGGTAACGTAAAGTGTAAATGTAATTAGGTTGTAAGCAGTTTCTGTAAGAGTCTTGAGCAATGTTAGCGAAGTTCGAATGCGCGACCTAAGAGGGCACGAAAGCACGGCCCACCAGGAAAAGAGAGAGAGAGAGAGGGGGGGTGGGGGCGGGAACCAAAAGTTGCGTCCTGTTTCTTCAACTTCACTTGCTCATATCACGCTTGCTCAAGTCACGTGTTCTCGGTTTTCACGGCCCAGTGTTCGACTGATCTAATCAGAGATTGCTCGTAGTTTTTAATGGAGTGGCAACTAAACAAGAGAGGGTGTGGACTCAGGGGGTTTCATTAAGGGCCGGGCACCAGGCAAATTGACCAGCTGTAAGGAAGATTTTGCCCACCTGGTTTGACCTTCTAAAGGGAAGTTTTTTTTATAACAAAGTACAGTTTAAAAAGTTTTGTCCCCGCCCCTGTGAAAACAAATTGCCCTCCAGCTGAAAATGTCAATGAAATCCCTGCATGGTCGATGATTTCTGTGCAGCAGAAAAAAATTAATTTGTGAAAAGAGGTTCCTGGCTATCTGCTTATGTACTTTCGCTGGGGATGAAGGAAGAGGCGCCTGCAAAAACCTATGTTCTCCACCAGGGTCCTCATGGTGAACGCAGACCTTAGCAGCTCAAGCATCTAACATCATATCTACAGTGTAACGAAAAACTGCTGGGGATAAGTGTAGGACTGAAATTGGCTTGTACATATGGATGCTGATGACGGTAACATAGGGCGCTTGGAACAATCCCGCTTCTGATTGGCATTTAGGGATTAATTAAAAACTCTCTCTGAGACGGGCGGATTTGTTAGCAGTTAGGATACAGAGTTTCTCAGACAAGCGCCGATTGAGTCCGGGTTTGCTGGTTTGATAATGCACAGCCAGTGGTGCAATCGGTGTTAGTATTCTTTAGTCCCCAGATATATTTGGAAGGAATGGTGACCTGTCAGTGTTTTCGGTGATCCAAAGAGCTGTTTTAAAATTTCTCCTCTTGATGTTTTCGCCGTGCGAGGAACTGAGGAAAAACGTTTTTCTTTTATCGGTTTTAATTACCGGTTTTAATTTAAGGTTTCAAAGCAACTAGTTTTGGAATTATTACAGTTTCACGAGGCGTGAGAGTAATGAATGTTTTTGCTTTTATTACAATCTGAACGCGTTTGTATCACGATTTCAACGCTCACACCTTCATGCATTGTGTAATTTTATTTGGGCAAAAACGTCACTCCTCCTCCCTACCCTTTAAGCCCGAAGGTGCTCGAACGCCTATGACCGGATCTGCAGTAGCTTTACAGACGAAATCGTTAACAAAGCGCAAAATGCTTATATATAAAAGTTAAAACATCGTTTTACATAGTTTTCGCTTTTGCCCTTCAGCACGTAAGCTTTTTGTACCACTACTACACGCTCAACTTTGTGCGTTATCTGTTTCTTATTAATCTTTCAGAACACCATTGAGGGACGAATTGCCTATTTTCCTGTCGTTGGTCGCTTAGATTGTAACAGCTCGTCTGAGGATCACAGAGGCTTCTGGCAACTTGACGGGTTTGGCGTGCTTAGTATATACAAGTCTGACTGGACAAGGTTTGGCGGTAAGAGGAGTTCAGACTGGTACGGAAGTGACAATTAGAATAAACTAAAGGCTGGACGAAGCTGGAACTGCAATACTGCCGCAATGCAAAGCCTGTTCAACCTGCTAACCAAATATGACAAACATTTTTTGCACCTGATAAAGTTTCTAAAGGCTTCTAAATAATTGTTTGCGGTTTCCAAAAGTTGACAACTGAAATCAAACAGCCATTTCATTCACCTGGTCCCGAACCAGTCAAAAACAAAACAGCGGCGGATCTAGGGGAGGGGTCCGGGAGGCCGCCCCCCCCCCATTATTTTGCGTAAAAAAAAGAAAAAATCACAGAAGGAAGAAAGCCGGCTGGGCAAGCAAGACAAAACCGCCCCCCCCCTTCTCCTTTAGCTCAAGGTCTGGGTCCGCCTCTGAGAACATACATTTATTGAAGTTCCCCCACCGCGGCTGTTCAGCCACAATGTAAAAAATAGTCATGAATAAATTACTTTATAAAAGTATAAAAATCAACATGGACAAAATGCTGCCCGAGGCCTGCATTTTCAAGACCTTGGTCACCGGTTTTCATTATACGGACCTCACAGCCGACCAATAACATATATATCTTCGATACAGTCGAACCTTCACTAACGGCCATCTCTCTACAACGGCCATCTGTCAAGAACGGGCGCTTTTCAGTTTTATCCAGGTGGACGGTCCATTCATTGAGACACAAAACTTGATCCGAACCGCGTGTCGTTTGTCTCTGTCTCTGTTTGGTTTCTGTTTTATTGATGTATCAGGATTTTGATTGTGTAGCATATTTTCATGCTACACTAAGCAATTTTCTTAAGATAAAGGTGTTAAACTCCGCGAAAAAAAAAAATCTGTGTCATATTACACTTCTACCACCTGATAACCTGTTCCAAGCTCTCGGTCAATGAGGACGATCGAAAAAGCGGGCGGGCGACGAGCGGGACCAGCGACGAGTGGCATCCGGGAGAGAAAAGGAGAGGGCGGGATACCTTTCCTTGTCTCTCGCAGACCCCACCCGCCCGCTTTTTCGATCGTCCCCACTGACCGAGAGACTGGAACAGGCTAACCACCCCATAATGGCCACCTCTCTACAACAGTTACTTTCCTCTGTCTGCAAGGTGGCTGTTATGAAGAGATTTGACTGTGTTTTTTTTTTCATTTATGAGCCAGATATGATACCAACTGAATAGTTTTTCTTTAATTGTTGGAGTACCTTTTGACTTGTTAGTAGCAGTAAGCCAGTCAATTATGTTGTTGTTTACAAAGGTCTTTACAAAGATGTCAATTGATTCTTTCTCACCACAGTAGAGGCATTCGTCTTCCGTTTTATACCATATCAATAAAGCTCTTTTTTGGTGATTATAATTCTTATTGGATTAATTTAAACTGGAACTCCTTCGAGTTTTTCTCCTGCAGATGTTTTTCAGCGAGGTGATTTTTTTTCCAGGCGTACCCATCTCACCTCAATTCACTTTGTTGTTCCATCTCCTTGGTCCAGTCTGGCTAACCGTGTGAATATCGGTTTTATAAATCTAAATGCAGCGAAATCTGCATTTGACTTTCGATTCTAGTTACTATTTAAACAGGGTCACTCCCGGAGCTCATTTGGGAGAATTTATCTTGGACCATCATGGCTATAAAGCAACCAACAAGTAACCACTTTTAAAACCACTGAATGTCTAGTTGTTGGCAAATTTATATCTATTCATTTATCAAAGCAGAGATGTATCAACTCCCACTTTCCAGCACATTTTCTCTTCAACATTTGCCAGGCAGCAGACACATAGCCCTAGATTACATACACACACTAGGCACACTGCTGGGGCCATAGCCTTCAATAGGAGAGAGGGATTAGGCGGATGGGCGTGGTTTCGTTCCAGGGACGTATCTGCATCTTCACTGAGGGAGAGAGTGTTTCCGGAGAAATTAGAAGCAATCAAACAAACTTTAATAATCAGCCAGCAAGAACGACCCACCCACTTGATTTCTTAGGCATACTGAGTTAATCGAACTTCTGAATAGCCGTTATTGCAGTTGAGTCTGTGGTCCGATTTCTGTTGTAAATGCAGCACACAAATGAGGCGAAAGGGTCAATACAAAACAGAATTGACCCTATCAGATCAACCCGTTTGTATATCAAACCGCTGATAACGAACACAACAGCTATTCATAGAACCCTTAATTTCCACCTTGAACCAATCCGTCGCGTTAATCCAAGACCCGAGGCAAATCCTTGTGAGTCTCGTTATTTCTTTGGCCCGACGTCGACATAATCAGTTATCTCCAACTTAACGTCAACTGGACATTTAGGACAGACCCACCGGTACCAATGTAATTTACTGATTTTAAAGGAGGGACCGCTTTTTCGTAAATCAAACCAAATCAAGTTTTCTCCTACCTGTTCTGACGAAATATCTGCGTGTCTTCTTCGTCCTATTCACGCGTTTTATTTCCAGCTACAGTATTCTGAAGAGTAGAATGGTCGCTACAAGGCCTCGAAAGGCCGCCATGTTTACAAATGCCTTTACCTGCTATTGAAAGTTACTTGGAATTCCATGTATTTATTATTCCAAATACGGTCAATTTTACCCACGTAACACCCTAGGGATTATTCACTTCCTAATTGATTCCTAAGAGATTTAAAAATGTTTGTGACATTAGGAAAGCGTCTTTCTCAAGTTTGACCAGGAAAAGGCAAATCACGACCCGCCCTTCAACTCCCCACATCTTCGGGTGAAGCTCCAATGAAGGCTGTAGGTATTTGGCCCCACGTCGCCAAGAACTTTGTTTCCTTTTCCTTCCTGGTGACACCTCGTTCTGGCCCCGTTGGGGCCAAATACCACTGCAACCCTTCGTCGCTCCTTGTCGACTAACACTTCGACCGGAGTGATGTGCCCATCTCTTATTAAGAACAAAGGATTCAAACAGAATGTGATACTGATCAACGGCATTCCACTTGCTATCTATTTTCTTCACGTATGTTTTACTTTTCCTGACCTCTTTTCAAATGTGTCACGATGGCACTTGCAAGTGAAAAGTTCCTGTTTTCGTTACGTGTGTGACCTACTCAAAAAGAAGTGAACTTTATTTCTTTAAAACTTGATCAAAAATGTCCTGCACCAACCTCCATATCCTTTACCGCCTTACCCCTTCTCACACCTCGTAATAAACATCCAGTTGATGCTAAGCGAGGAACAAGTTAACATCGGGGCCTCTCAATGGCGGACGCAGCAGTTAGACTTAATTCTCTTTCAGAACTTCCGAGAAGATTGAAATATGGTTGGAATACAGGAACTGAAGAATTTGTGATCTTCCGATTACAGCTGATAAACCGCTTTCTAGTACAATCTGAGAGGTTCAACGACACCCTAGCGCCCGACAGCTTTTCGGTTTTGTTGGAAAGTGTCGAACAGATAGCAAGGGTTCAACAGGCTTGACAGTCTCTATGCTATACCAGTGTAAAACATTCCAGAAACCTTCATTTGCGTCATCAAACTAAATTCCATTTGAGCGGTTTTCATTTGAGCGCTGAAAAGTTATTGGCTTTACATCATGCAATTTCGCTACACAATTACCTCACGAAACTCGCTCCACTTTTTATCCAATTAGAAGTAAAACCAAAACCAATCGGGAATCGTTCGCACTCGTTTTCGCGTCAGCTACGGGTTGATTGGATTGTCTGTGTCTTTTGTGATTGGCTAGATCTAGAGAGACTACTTCTGGTTTTGGTTTTACGTCACTCAAATGAAAACCGCTCTAATAATTGAGTTATTCTTTTGTAAAAAAATACCTCTTAGTCGGCGCGTCGGTTATGTTATGGACGGGTCAATGGGTGAGTGAGTGAGTGAGTGAGTGAGTGAGTGAGAG